TGTTCTTTTCCTCAGAGAGAACACCTCTCTTCTTTGTGTGCTCACTTCCACACCTTTGGCAATGAACATCACGAGGTTTTCTGTCTGGCCAAGGGGCAAACGAGAGAGACAACCGAATGAGGGGCAGTGAATAATAAAAAACAATGACGACATCACGAAAATGCTAGCTCATGAATTATGAATATGATTACGCCACATCTGTAGCTCAGAAAAAACAAAGCTAGGGCTTTGCTGACCCCTACAAGGTCACTCCGACACCATATCTCGTCTGGATGGGCGTGTCTGCAGTCATAGTTGTGCGTATTTGCGTAATGAGCAGGAAACGTTGGCAGATCGGAGGCGTACAGCGTAGGATACAGACAAAATCTGACGCACTCAGGTTAGAAGATGACACTTGGTCTGGACAGTTAGCAGTGTTCCTTAGGTAACAAATAAATAGCCGCTATGGAGCGACAGCTAAGTTCATGGACACACCCTCTCCAGTGCGGAGATATGGACTCTGTTTAAAGGCAGTTGGCACGATAAATCCCCCAAGACGACTAGGATCAATACTCCTGGCAGGACGGAATTCCGCGACCCTGAGCAGGCGCTGCATAGCGCTCCCAAGGAAGGTGCCCTTATGGTAGGGGATCTCAAAATTTCAAATTACATTAGTAGGGCTCGCACATCTATTGAGGGTGTTACTATGAGACTATCAGCCCCCAGCTGTCGATGTGTCGTGGTCCCCCCGCCCAAACATGCCCAGGAATGGAGATACAGGACCGTGAAACACGCTAATTCCTCCATGCTCCGCCTTACACCTTTTTGCGGCGCAGATTCCCGTCCTTCATAACATCCGTTGCAAGCGCGCGTGTCGCGTGCGGCTCCTTGGCACTTTGCCAAGTCCTTTAATTGCGCTTTCAGATACAAGTAAAACGCAATTTCCTGATGCGGATAACATTGGAGGTGCTGCAAAATAAGAACAGAAGATGATGACGAGGGTCAGAACTTAAAAGCAACTGTGCCACTTCTGCAACATCCCTCGGAGGCCGCGTATTCCACGAAACATGAAAAACGGCATACTCGTTAGTTTGATACAAGCAAAACGCAATTTCCTGATGCGAATAAAATTTTAGGTGTTGCTCATGCTTCAAAATCCATGTACAAGGAGATGAAGATGACACAGGCTAGAAATGAAGCACACGATGTAAATGTAAACAAAACAAAAATGAAAAAATCAAGGAAAGGCAAATTAGTTAAAATCGCCTGTAAATTTCTACGATCCGGCGCGAATCCGGCGCCAAAGCCATAGAAATACTTAGAATAAACGAGTGGGACGCTTGGATTGTTTTTATTCTCATGTTTTCTGGGAATGCGCGGCCTCTGATGGATTCTGCGGATGCAGCCGAGTTGCTTGAGTTCTGGCCCTTGTCATCTTCTGTTCTTTTTGTATCACGCATGTTATCCGCATCAGGAAATTGCGTTTTACTTGTATTTGAAGAGCGCAATTAAAGGACTTGGCAAAGTGCCAAGGAGCCGCACGCGACACGCGCGCTTGCAACGGATGTTATGAAGGAGACGGGAATCAGCGCCGCAAAAGGTGTAAGGCGGAGCATGGAGGAACTAGCGTGTTTCACGGTCCTGTATCTCCATTCCTGGGCATGTTTGGGCGGGGGACCACGACACATCGACAGCTGGGGGGCTGATAGTCTCAACACCCTCAATGTATGTGAGCGTACTATGTGTCTTTAAGCCACAACATTCCGACCCAAACGCCCGCCACGCTCGCCCGCCCACAAATGGACGACCGTTCCTGACGCTCGTATTCATTCATTTGCTAAGCAAATTATGAAGCGAAGGGATTGGTATGAAGCGGCCGTGATGCTGCATGGATATATGAGTACACATATGCAGCCGTACCTTCGGTAGCGGCAAGATGCCTACAGGAAACTCGTCCAAAATTGATTTCTAACACATTGAGAACGGAGGCTCTTTCTTCGCAGGATTTTGACCGTTTCACTCCGTTCTTTCGCCATTTCCCCACTATATAGCGCCCTACTAGCATTTTAGGCCGAGTAGGAAACCATCGTGCCAACTGCCTTTAAGCTGATGTCAAAACAACAACTACTATACCGGTAACATTTTCAGCTCGTGCATGATTCCTCATACAAAAGACTACTCCACGAGATTGATATTGTTGTTGTACCGAACACGAATCCTGATGGCTACGAGTTCAGTCGCGAAAGCAACAGGATGTGGAGAAAAACTAGGTGACGTCACTTCAGAAAGATCTTTTACTTTGAGGTTCGCGTTTAATGTTCTGATTTAGATCAAATTCTACCGTAAGTCGATTCAGCCAGTTGTGCAGTGGCGTGGACGCCAATAGGAATTATCCATTTCACTTTGGCGAAGAAGGAGTGAGCCATTGGCCTTGCCAGTGCGTTTTACCTGTCTCTATTTACATCTTTCTCGATGCGGGAAAGGAAATCCGACTGTGGCGACTACCAGAAACTACACATGTAATCAGACGCGCACTGAATTTTCCACAAGGTACAGCATTGCTGGGAGAATCCCATCGAGGAGTCTCACTTGGTCGATGGGTTGTACCTGGCCATGGAAGAAATTTTTCCGGGGAGAGTATTTTTGCTCAATGTTGGATTCTCCCGTTCCATGCGCGCTATATTCCCAGCCCCCCCCACCTCTACGGCAGAGTTCAGAGAAAAATTAGTGAGATTTCTGGACACTTAGCAGGGCGCTAGGTATATTGTGACCGGGGGGGGGGGGGAGGGGTGGGGATCGTAAGTGAAATTTGAGGGTCGTACTGGAAAGGAAAATGGGAGGTAGTACCCACACCGCCCTTCCACCTGTCCCCCGTCTACCCCTTAATTCCTAGCTAGTTTGTTACGTTTGTTCTAGCGCTTTCGCCACGAATCGATTAATCTAGAACGCTTGCCTCCGGAACTCAGATCTCCCGACCGGCGCTCCAAATTCTGTAGTTGACGTCAAAAATGATGTCATTCCCTGAACAACGTTTCCCTCTGTACATTTGCCCTAACCAGAAGAGAAAGTGTCTCTATTAGCCCAAATTCCTACCATTCCGAGTGCAGAAGAGTTTTTGACGACAACTATTGGTAACCGATGGAATTTCACTGATGTCTTGGATTCAGGGAGACGTACTGCGGCCGAGTTGCACTCAGTGAACCAGAGGTGACCGACTGACAACCACGGAATGAGGTGACGATATTAGTAAACGCCCAACTTTAGGTGATGGGATTAGCGGCCGCGATTTTGGAAAGGAAAAACGAGATACGAGGTTATGTCGCGTTACATTCTTTCGGCCAGGATATCCTATATCCATGGGGTCATAAAGTGAACGAATATCCGCCTGATGTAGAAGACCTCGTAAGTCATTCCCAATTTGATCATTCTTAATTTTCCGAAGAGTGCTATTGCAGAAGTCGATGGCCAATGGGGTTGCAGATGCCATTTATTCTGTTTATGGCACACGGTATCTAGTGTCGAATAGCGCTGCTGGACTGTGTAAGTATCTCAGCTTGAAGGCACAGCTCCCGTTGATAGTATAGACGGTGTCAGGTATTCCATTGTGCCTTATCACTGTCCCCTTCTAAATTTGTGAAAAGGAGGGTCCAGAGTGAGACACAATGGTATGCACTGTGGTGTGGCTCCCACCAGCGACCGAAGTACATTCTTAGCCGTCATGATGAAAATGAAAAACAACTCTTCAGATCCAGCGTCAGGAGCTGCCGACGACTGGGCGAAGAGTATAGGTGTCAAGTACTCGTTCACCTTCGAATTGTCACCAACTACAATGGAGTGAGTTAAATTCTTTACCCGAGAAGTTCGTCAGCTTACCATGGAACTTTGAATGGAGACCTGGGTAGATCGATAGAGTCTATAAGGTTATTTACAAATATAGATAGCAAAACCTGCATTTCACAAGCAACTTATGAGCAGGTAAAGTTTGTAATGGTGCAGTAGGGTGGAGGCTTGGTGGTGAGCTGTGAAGCATAAGCGAGGAATCGCATACGTCGAATCGACGTCGAACCTTACCACTGAACCACCACGACTCGATTCGACGTATGCGATTCCTCGCTTATGCTTCACAGCTCATTACCAAGCCTCCATCCTACTGCACAATTACAAAAGTTACCTGCTCATAAGCTGCTGGTGAAAGGTTGCAGTTTTGCTATCTACATATATTTGTAACAACCTTATAGACTCGTATCGATCATTTGAAATGCGACTTGGGTCGATCTATCGATCGACCCAAGTCTGCATTAAAAGTTCCATGGTAAGTTGGCAAACTTCCCTCATAGACCATTTATCTGGTCAGAGTTCTATGGGAAGTGGCACAAATTCATATAAAACAAGGTTGCACTGCAATGGACAAAGCAAGATACCTTCGGAAGATCGCGACTATTTCAGCCAAAACGTGCCACTCATCACAGTTCCAGCTAAAGTTGCACGGGTGAAGAACAACAAAACAGATGAGGGAACAATTTGCCAATAGTAGCATTTTGGAAGCAGTCGAAGTCTGAAGCAGCACGTTGCGATAAATGAAGGGCGAGACTCATAGTTATCCCTCTTTGCACGCTTTCCTCCCTTACACCAGGGGAGGCTACCGGCATGTGAAAAGAAAATCATGTGATACGTATATCTGACACCGTCGCAATCATTCGGGGCCGGGCCAGGAGAGGCAGAATGAGTTCGTTGCCGGCTGCGTCCGTGTCTTGCTTCGCGCAGCGGCATTGCTTTAGCTGTCTGGAACAACAAACCCCGCCTTTTAGGTGGGCTAGCCTTCACAAGTTGTAGTATGGTCTAGTAAGAAGGAGCGAGCGTGTATAATTCCAAATGGAAGTCTTATGCGTGGCGCATCCTGAAAAGGCTGGTTCCAGAGTGCTAGCCAGGAGGTTGGATTTTTGGCAAAACAGCTTCACAAGCGCGTACGGCATCTGAGCTGAAATGTTTTTCAGCTCAAATATACTTCAGGAAGCCGAGTGAGTGGCTAAGAAATGCCGCGAGCGCTATGTCCTGTGTCACGTCGCAATTCGGATCTCCCGACCCGCACCACTACGCTGTTACCTTTCTGATACCAGAAGACTAAAAATTTACGATAATTCTGATAAGCAAATGTTCCCGCCAATTCAAATATGTGATGCTGGAAAAAGTATTCCAGACCAGGATTCCTCTTACCCGAGGCAGACATTCCTCGCGTTACACGAGAAGTTATGGAAGGTATTGTCTTTATGGCTAGACGGATACGATCCGAAGAGGTTGGTCGTCTTCTTAACGACATAATCTCTTCGAGGCCTATTCGAAGGCGGAGTCAACGTCTGATTGGATAGTTACTGCTAATATTTTAATGACTGATGTTTGATAATTTGTGTAAATTTTTATTAGAATATAATATTTGACATACGTCCACTGGACTACTTCTGAGGAAATGAATGATGACATACGTGTATCTACTATTTGGCTTAACAACCTAATAAATTCTTGAACTATTGGACATCGCATACAAACTTGAACTTGGCTGAAATCAGTAGTACTGAAATGAGGTCCATTGGAGGTGGCTGGAGCACGCGGCGACACGAGGCCAGCCTACTGTGCTCCTGGCTGCGTTCGCACTTTGTGGCAGCGTCCAAAAGCATCCACTAGCGTACGACAGCGTTTCGAACGAATACCAGAGCCAGGAAAATATAGATCGATCTAGCGAACACGAGCGCCCAGCAGCGTCCATTAGCGTCCACCAGCGCGTCGAGGGCTAGGGAATACTGGTTTCGATCTGGTGAACTCCAGCGTCCAGCCGCGTTTGCCAGCGTACAGCAGCGTCCGGGAGTGGAAAGTATGGGGAAATAGGAGGGTAGCAGACAGCTGGATTAGGCGTCGTGAAATTGCGGCGTGTGCAAGCACCGCACAGGTGTTGAAGAACAGCATTATGCAATCCTGATGTTTGGTGTAGTGCAGTTCCACGGTGCATTTGCACATTCCGCAATTCCACACGCTTGATTCAGATGTCTGCTACCCTCCCACTTCCCCATACTCTCCACGATGCTGTACGCTGCCAAACACGGTGGACGCTGGCGTTCGCTAGATCGACACTTATACTTCCCTAGCCCTTCGAGATGTTGATGGACGCGGTGAACGCTGCCGCAGAGTATGAACGCAGCCTTAGCGCTCTCTGAGGTTGCACATGGCTTAGGAAAGGGACTACTATCTCACAGGGAGGGCGCAGACGAGCAGACTCATTCGCGCCTCCGCGTGCTGTTCTCTCCCCCCCCCTCCACAACACCAGGAGCTCATGGAATGTGGAAACATTGCAAAGAACACGAATCTCAAGCTACACATCACATTCAGCTTACGATCTTGAAATACCAAACCAAAAATATATTAGCTTCCCGCGTTACAATCCCAGTAAACAGACGTTGGTTTTACAAATATGGCAACATGGAACTATTTACACGTTAATAAGCAGTTGAAGCTAGAAAGAATAGCGAACAATATTGTAAGGTTACACAACTTCTACCTAAAGTGAAGACTGACAGCCTATATCTGCGGGGGCGGTGAGGGTCAGGACAAAAGAAAAGCAGAGACATATGCTTATGCATAGAAGAGAAAAGAATCGGTACACGGAACAAAGTCGGATAAAAGCCCTCCAATGTCTCACTGGCCCGGACCTGCTTAACCCTCGTTCTGGACTCAAACGGTCAGAAGTCTAATATGCCATCACAACAGGAAGTTTCATATTTCAAACCAATGGCTTCCAGCGAACAAAAGCCTCATTTATTCTTCGAAAAGTAGTCGAGAAGATTACGACTAGACCTTTTCTGAGTTTCCTTTTGCTCTGAAAAATCGTAGTAATCCCATAACTAGACACGATAAGTAGTCTTGTTTGCTGCGGGTGAAGAGGTGTGTCAGGCGGGATGGGTTTGGCGCGGCGCCAAATCCGTTTTCCACCAGCTGTTGAGCGAGCAAGTGACAAGACTGTATCACGTCGTTCGTATCAGTCGTTTTCCACCAACTGTTGTCGCATACGCACTCCAACAACTCGTGGACAATGGACTTGGCCCTGCACCAAGCCTATTTGATCAGACACGCTCCTTCAGCGAACAAGACCGTAAATTAGGAAATGCTCAATCTCGCTGGAGCGGAAGGAGCACTATGCAATCTCTTATCTACATACCAGGCATTTTTGAAGTCATGCATGTTGGATAGGCCGACACCGTGCCTGTGGAAAAGTGAAACAGTTTTTCCGCCTAAATGTTGATCTCATATCGGGGGTATATAAACCCCACTGTTTTGTTGAGTTTCATTCGTCTAATAAATATTCTTCTACTGCCGATTCTGCCTACTACATCCGGATTCAACAACTGGCGATCAGTATCAAGGACTCATGGACAAGCTGGCAGATATTCTCGCTCTAATGGAACGCCGGATGGAACGTCAGGACAAGACCATCGAGCTCATGCAGCAACAGCACAAAGAGACCGCCGATTCTTTCCTGCGCATGATGGAGAAGATGGAACAGCGATTGGTCGAGGCGTGCCCAGCAACTGCAAAACACAGCATCTTCGACTCCATGTGCCGACGAATCGACAAGTTCAATTTCGATGCGGAGAATGGTAAGACCTTTGACGTATGGTTCAAGCGATTTAAAGATGTGTTTGACAACGACTGTACTGAGCTAAGCGAGCAAGAGAGGACCCGTCTCCTAGTCAGCCGACTGGATGAAGACTGCCACCAGCTGTTCTGTGGCTCCATTGCACCTAAGTCGCCGTCGGACCTGTCATGGGAAGAAGCGGTTTCGGCCATGGATCGTCTATTCGGATCTGCCAAAACGCTGTTTCGTCGACGATTCGAGTGCTTCAAGATACAGTACGATCACCAAGACTTCAACAACTACGAAACACTGGTGCGGACGCGATGTTCTGATGCCAAATTCGACGCCATCGATTTCGACGGTCTACAATGCCTGTTTTATGTGGCCGGATTTCAAGGAGCAGAATTTGCCGACTACAGAACGCGCCTTCTAAGAAAGTTGGATCAAGGTGACAACATCTCGATCAAGGACCTTACCGGTGAGTGCCAGCTGATTAAATCTTATAAAGAAGACGCCAAAATGCTGGAAAATGCCTCCGGTGCTGGCACTAGAGTCAATTACGTAACCAGAAGGAGGAAAAGAAGAAATTTCAAGCCGAAGCAGATGCGGAAGAATAAGGACGACACTACTGCGTTTCCTCACCCACCACGATCTGGAAATCAGGAATCAAGGTCGCCGTCACGTTCTCAGACCAGACGTCGCGGTGCAAGGAGCTACCAGATCAGGAGCATTGAGGCCGCTCTACGCAAGAACGCTCAGCCACACCTACAAGTCGAAGTGAATGGACGTTCTCTGAACCTTCTACTCGATACTGGCGCCATGATCACTCTGATCTCAAGGTCGAGCTGGAGGAAAATCGGAAGGCCACACCTAGAGAAATACAACGCAATCGTAAACGCCGCCAATGGTACGAGGATCCCAACAAGTGGACGCGTCATGGTGGATTTTGCGTTGAAGAGTTCCGATGGAAGGCAGCATCACGAACAAGGATTCTGCTACGTCACCGAAGATCTCGACTTATTCGGTTGGGAGTGGATCCAGAAGATCCCAGATTTGGTGAAACCACTGCAGAAGTACATCAATGGTGTGACTATCCTTGCTGATCCTGCCGCCGCCTGCCGAGACGAGATCGTCGCCAAGTTGAAGACCGACTACGCCGATGTATTCAAAGATGGACTCGGACGATGTACGAAGACCAAGGCGACGCTCCAGTTGAAGCCCAATGCTCATCCAGTTTTTAAGAAGAAACGCCCCGTGCCGTACGCCTACATTACGGCTTTGGACGCAGAGATCGATCGCCTGCTCGAAGAAGGAGTGCTCTCTGCCGTCAACTATTCTGCCTGGGCAGCACCTATTGTCGTCGTGAAGAAAACAAATGGAACGCTACGACTCTGTGCTGATTTTTCAACCGGATTAAACGATGCCCTAATGCTACACCAGCATCCACTGCCCACTGCAGACGACGTATTCACCAAATTAAATGGCGGCACGACTTTCACGCAGATAGACTTCGCGGACGCTTATCTCCAAATCGAAGTCGACGACGAGGCGAAGGAGATTTTGACAATTAATACGCACAGAGGACTTTTCCGTTACAACCGCCTCCCGTTTGGTATCAAATCTGCGCCCGGCATCTTCCAGCAAGTCATTGATTCCATGATTTGCGGACTTCAAGGCTGCGCTGCATACCTCGACGACGTTATCGTCACCGGCCGCACTATCGAGGAGCACGTCGCCAACTTGGAAGCCCTCTTCGAAAGGATATCCGATTATGGCTTCCGCGTCCGAATCGAGAAATGTAACTTCCTGATGCCACAACTCCGATACCTGGGAAACGTTATCGATTCAACCGGACGCCGACCCGATCCCGCCAAGATCGAGGCTATCCGCAAGATGCCACAGCCCACGGACATTGCCCAGGTGCGATCGTTCTTGGGAATGCTCAATTACTACGGCCACTTCGTCAGCGAGATGCGACAACTTCGTGCACCGTTGGATGCTCTTCTGAAGAAGGATGCGTCGTTCAAATGGTCTGCCGAGTGCCAAGATGCCTTCCAACGCGCCAAGGATGTGCTAGCCTCGGACCTACTGCTCACCCACTACGATCCCACAAAGGAGATCGTCATCGCGGCCGACGCATCGGAGTACGGGATAGGAGCAGTGATCAGTCACCGCTTCTCGGATGGAACAGAGAAAGCGATACACCATGCTTGCCGTTCCCTGACAGCTGCCGAGAAGAACTACGGTCAAGTCGAGAAGGAAGCTCTCGCCATTACGTTCGCTCTGCGGAAGTTCCACCGCTACATCCTCGGACGTCACTTCAAGCTGTTAACCGACCACAAGCCACTCCTAGCCATCTTTGGGAGCAAGAAAGGAGTGCCTGTCTACACGGCGAATCGACTGCAACGCTGGGCCCTCATAGTGAAGAGCTACGACTTCAGTATTGAGTACAGAAGCAGCACCAGTTTCGGACAAGCAGACGTCTTATCGCGCCTCATCGCTGAGCAATCTACAACCCAAGAAGACCAAGTCATTGCAGCGATCGAGATGGATGCGACGACTATTTTCGCCAACGCAACGACGAAACTGCCAGTCGACGCTGAAACAGTAGCAGAAGAAACCAAGAAGGATCCCGATCTGAAGAATATTTTCGAGTGGATCAGAGATGGAAAGTGGCCAAGGAAGTCGGATGTCGCAACCCGATTCAACTCCCTAAGAAGATCCCTTTCGACACAAAATGGATGTCTACTTTTTGGAGATCGCCTCGTCATTCCCGCAACCTTACGAAATGCCGTACTATGCGAACTTCACGATGGGCACCCAGGAATGACACGGATGAAGATGCTCGCCAGGAATTTCGTGTACTGGATGAACATCAACAACGACATCGAAGACTTCGTCAGATCTTGTCGCCGCTGCCAGGAAACTGCGAAGAGCCCTATCAAAGCAACCCTCTGCTCATGGCCGATGGAGGAGAAACCGTGGGATCGCATACACGCCGATTTCGCTGGACCGATGGAGGGGAAGATGTACCTCATCATCGTTGATGCCTTCTCAAAGTGGCCGGAGATCGTCGAAATGGCATCTACGACAACGAGCAGCACGATCAGAGAATTGCGTCGACTCTTCGCCCAATTCGGAAATCCACAAACGCTAGTGACGGACAACGGACCTCAATTTACTTCCAACGACTTCAGCGAGTTCTGCAAGAAGAACGGTATAAGACACATCAAGTCACCTCCGTTCCACCCGCAGTCTAACGGCCAGGCAGAACGCTTCGTAGATACTTTTAAAAGGAGTTTCGCGAAGATGAAGGAAACCTCGTCGCCGAGTGAAGCACTACAAAACTTTCTACTGAACTACCGCCGAACCCCTTGCCCTTCGACGCCAGGAGGACAATCACCAGCTGAAGCGTTTCTCGGAAGAGAGATCCGGACAAAACTCAGCCTCCTGAGGCCGTCCGCCACTCGGAAAGAAGTGATGCAAAACAAGAAGATGGAAGACCAATACAATCGCCACCATGGAGCACGGCAGAAGGAGTTTAACGTGGGTGATTCAATCTGGACAATGGATTATCGTTCTGGAACACCACGACAGATGCCCGGTCATATACAGCAAAGACATGGCAACAGGCTCTATGATGTCTCAGTAGATGGACAAATATGGAGACGGCACGCTAACCAATTGCGTCCTCGTTTCATCAAATTTCCATGTACTACAGAGCCAGACATCGAACTTTCCGAACTGCCGTTGCTTCCATGCTCGACGCCACCAACTACCACTACAGCCGCCACCAACCTGCAGACCACACCAACGATCGACACCTCTACATGCACGACAAATGATGCCTCAAGAGAAAAAGCAGCAAGAGTACGCCGTGCACCGCAACGATTGGTTATCGACCCGAGGAAGAAGACGTACACCTAGAGTGTCCATCTTAGGGGGGAGGTGTTGGATAGGCCGACACCGTGCCTGTGGAAAAGTGAAACAGTTTTTCCGCCTAAATGTTGATATCATATCGGGGGTATATAAACCCCACTGTTTTGTTGAGTTTCATTCGTCTAATAAATATTCTTCTACTGCCGATTCTGCCTACTACCTCCGGATTCAACAATGCAAACTCTTGTTAAGCCACGAAACGGCACTATTTTGTGCGCCACATATTATGTAGAACATTATTATTATGCAGATTGCGTTGGCTAACTTGAAAAAACAGTAGTGAAGCCAGGTCGAGGATTTTTGCACTAGACTAGAGAGGAATGAGCTTTGGAGTCTGTGACAGGGTTCATCACCGTTGGAACAATCCCATCCATCAGAGGGTCATCGTAAGGGAATGATTCATATATGATCGATGGGAGTCGTATACCCTGAAACTAGGAAATTCTTGGAAAACTGAGAAAAATTGGTAAAGTGTTGAAAGATCTAAAAAGATGGTGGGTAGGAAGGGGGAACGAGGAGGACGGGGACGATGTGGAGGAAGAAATCGAAGGGGTGGGCCAGGGGGTTGACGGCCTATTTCTCCCGGCGCAGTGTTGCGCAGTGGTTGGCGAGCCATCTCCAAGCGAAAGAATAATACACTAGGGTGGCTTTACAGGAGGAGTTCACAGAACTTTATGGAGTTGTCCAGCACATTTACAAGAATTCACAAAAGGCCCCTCGTAGCGGACTACTGCCCTAACAAAAAAAGAATACTGTAAAAACTACCTTTTACTGGAGCAAGTGGACGGCTTTTCAGTGGTGTCAGTTTCACAGTGAGCTTTCGAGGTGAGTTTTGTAAGGCACGGTGTTGTTCTGAGAGCATTTTGGAGCAGACCGAATCCCCAAATTCAGTGACACTTGGTAATCTGTGAAAAGGAGGAAATAAGCAAAAAGGAAATGTTTCAGTCAGAGGATTTCACAGGAAACATTTACGAAGAAATACTTCATGACTGCAGAACACACAGTCCTGGTAGGATAGGAAGTGGATCAAATTAATGGAAAAATAACAAACCGTGGTCGCTCCTGCTTCGTCATTGACTTTGTTTTGTCAAAATTACTTCGCACGCAGTAGTCATCTATATTCTTCCTGGATGTCTACAAAAATGGGCATTCGTATTTGTCTGTTCACTTTTATGAATCCATAAAAGCTTACGCTTGGTGACTGAGCTTCAAGACTGACAGCAGGGGTTCCCTGCGTTTCAGCAAGACGTTTAGCCTTGAATTTGGCTATGTACCGCTCATAGACCTTGTTCGGCAGATTTTCCGTTGGATATCTGCATCATAGGCTTTTACAGCCATCGATTATGAGGTGAAACAACGGGATAGACGCTACAAACCTATAGTGGAAGGCGCTCTTCCTTCGACCTCGACGTTGTGAGTGGGGTGTCGACATGGAGGTTCTGCTTGGAGTTCCGGCGTCGGCATTTGTGATGTTGGCCAGCGGTAAAACGGGGGAACCCAATCTGAACAGGGAGGTATTATAAAAGTAGGCGTAAGACATTTCGAGAAGTGCTATCTTCAGGAATAACATGGTTAGTGGGAATAACCATGACAAAGAAGCAATAGCAAATCCAGGAAAGCATACGTAAAGATCTGGAGCTTCTCTGATTCCCGAGAAGCAGCGCCAGAAGAATATGCAGATGGAAATCCAACGAAGGTTCTCAGAAAATTAACGTGCAGAGTCATTCGATTCTTATCGAACTTTGCTTATGGTGGTCGGAGAGACCACGTAGCGAAACCTGCTCACGCGCACTTCATTCGCCTGTGCTTCTAGGGCTGGTTCTGTAGAGAGGAGGGACCACTGCGCCAACTCATTCGTGGCGGAAGAGCCACTAGTACTCAATAACAACCACTGTTCTTGTTTTAGGAACGTTTCGCGGAGCAGTCAAGCTTGCGCAAAGTGCTGTTCCTGCAGTTACTGACCACACTGAAGACTACCGCGATTTCGCCCCGATAGGCACGTATCAATCTTGACGGGAACAGGTGTTAGCGCCAAGTGGCGCTGCCGACAAAAGCTAATGCTTTGCCCCCACTACAGATAAAGTTTCGAATGAGCTTTCAGTAGTACTAAGGTACAGATATTATTTACAGTAGTACTAACCATAAGGTACTGATATTAGTTGAGAAATGTGCCAAGTTCCAATTTGAAATATCTCAGGAAAAGAACAACATCGGAAAGTTCCCAAAAGACGTTCCAACCATGCAATATTGAAAGCAGCGCAAAAAAAAGACCAACCGGTGGCTTATACTGTCCCATTGACAGCACCCTATCGCGATCGCTCGCGACAGGGCGCAGGCGACTCATATTGCTGTCAATTTCTTAACTAACACGGCGTTCCATTTTGAAACCGAAAAATATGAAGGAGTCTACGAACACCTTACTTTATCATCTTGGATATCGGTGACTTAGTTGGCGTTAAAAGTCGTTTTATTGGACTTGTGAAAGGCTCTTTTCTTTTCCGAGTAGGAGTACTGACCAACGACTTCAGTGAGATAGATTCTGCTCTTTTTCCGCGACTAAGTGACATCCTGAAAGAACAAGAAAGTATGACTTTTTTTGAAAAGTTGAGCACAGTCAACTGACTTGTTCACCAGAAGGGTAGTCTTCTCAGATTCATTTAATTCATAAGTGCTTATCGTTTCGGCGGCTGAATTTGTCTCCGTCTGTTCCCGACTTGGATTAACATTATCGGCGCTCCAGACGCGGAAGTGGAGATCATCCATTGAGACTATATACCTGAAAATTCGAACCTTGCACACAGCTGTCATTATACTCGAATCATTGTCAATCAAACCATTTGAGCGGTTGGGTTTCTCGCTCAACACATCTCTGTCGTATCTCATACATCAAATTCTGAATTCAAATGAAGATAAGGGAAGAGTACTTCCATATATCAAGCAGATTACTGTGGTGTTTTCGACACCAAGGAAAGAGATAAAATACAAGGATAAGGAAGTCTCCGCCGTTGATCAATCCCCACTGGGATGCGGCACGCATTCTACTTCCATTCAGAATCGTAGTGGCTTATTGAATGCGATGTGGCCTATACAATGACTTGCGGTGGCCAGCCGATGTACAAGTCAGTGTTTATCCTCCCAGACGAATCTGGTACCAATTTACCGTCCCGGAGGGTAGAAGGCTTGGTTGTCTGGGTGGTAGCCGGTTTGAGATTCGAACCCTGGACCGTACGTACGCATGGTAAGCGTGCCACCCACCGTTAAACCACCGAGAAAAGATATTCGAGCTAAATCGTTGATGCAGCGCCTGCTTACAGAAAATGTAGAAGCCTTCAAAGAAAAGAATTGCACTCTGAAGAAACAAGTAAAAAACAGGTTAGGGTCACATCAAATAATTTCGTTCAATTTCGAGCTGAAGTTTCGTGATCTACGGCACCTGAAGCCCATCGTCCACTGCCAATCCGTTCATCCTCTGCAAACCAAGCGAGCTGTCGTGAGGAACATGTTTCGAACAGCGGCGAAGGTCTGTTCGGGAGAGGAAGAGCGAAAGGAGTCCCTAAAGCTGGCACACGAAATTGCTGCCCTCAATGGCTACAAAGAACCAGCGACCTCCCATAGAGCCAGAAATAGTGGCGCGAATAGCAGACGTGGTGGTGAATTTGCTGGACGGAAAAGTCCCTTTCATTTTGCCCTACGTCACTGAGAAAGTCAGCACTTCTATCGGGAAGTGCATGAGGAGGTTTGGCTGAAAGCACACTTGCCATTGTCAATTTGCCACCCAGTAATCCGAAGCGTCGCGTAGCGAGAAATCGGCTACATGACCGTCTATGTACAACCCCTGTGTAGTCTGTCCGACTGGCATGGAGGGCGACTGCAACATCTCGGTGGTCTACAAGATAACCTCTTGTAGTTGTGTGAATGAGTACATCGTGAAACATCGCGGTCGATCAGCGTGAGGAAGGAGCACGAGCACCTGGACGGCAAGAGTAGGGTCACAGTTTGCTACTAGTCCTTAGAGGCTGCAGGTCAGATTCATGCGGACGATTTGGAGAGTAGAAGGTCAAATCAAGGTTTTGGTGCCAGAATTCGCAACGTCCGCACGGAACACCCTTGAGGCATTTTGGATGAGGTCAGCAATCCAAAAATGAACTGAGGGGATGCGCGTCATGATAAGGCGGGAGATGAGACCTGCATAAGGGTGGTCTTCTAGCAGTGGCCTAAAGTCATGAAGGCTGTCCTGATACCAGCTTGTCTTGAAAGATCAGATATTAGGCTGTAGTGCCTCTTACGACTAGGTGATGATCTGTGATGATTTCGAACTTCAGTAGGGTAGTGGAGACGTTGGTCGGGTAGTCTAATTTGCTTCGATCTTTTCAGGCTCTGAAGAAGAAGGCAATCGCGCTAAAACGTAAGCCAATAAAGGTGAATTGACAACCTCGTGTGGAGCTCAAGAAAGAAATCTTACAGTCATCACAATGCCGAGGTTCATGGAGAGCCGTACATGGCGGATTCTAAAGTGTGGCAAGGGGAAAGGATCCTTCAGATTGAAGGGAAACCTAATAAACCACTTTAGTCTCCTGCCTGAATAAAGTTCCCTTCATATAGAATGCGGCATCGTGGCTTTTGATCATGAAAAGCTAACTTTTCAGCTGATAACGTCAGTGAGTTACTTTTAAAGCAAGTGATGAATTTCCTCCTTTCCTCCTAATAACTCATGTAGGGATTCCTCAGTTGTGCTTCGACGCTACTTTGGTAAGTTGAGGAAGATGTCTTCAAAACACACTCCACTCCCAATCACTTCACATTGGTCTGTGTCCGGTCACATCGATATATTGTCACTCCACATTGATCTGTTGTTCGCTATCTTCGCCTATTCCCTAGTGCAGTAGATGTAATGACTGCAGGAATGAGGTTATCCCTCCTTGTCTCGATTCTTTTCTTAAACGCTGGGATGACTATTCTCAGTAGATCGACTGTAGGTTCATCTAAACCTTTCTGTGTGGTATGAAACAGGGAGGCAGTAAAGTTAAATGCGCCGATTGCTTCCATAATCGTAGCACCGCGACGAAGAAACCAAGAATTCGCAGGAGCTAAGAGACACTTTTAGCTTTTGCCCCCATAAAAAAAGGCGCCTTTCATTGACGCGAAAATTCTTCACTCCTACGCTAGGCGTGATTACACAAAGGATAGAATATGATAGGCGACTTAGAAAGAAAGTGCGTCAGCTTGATGCAAGCGAAAGGAAACTCCTTAGCCTCGTGCATGATCTCGAAATTCATGAGTTAACTTTATTCAACCGTTAAGTTCCTCGTGACCTGCTGCGCACCGATATTAGCCCCAGTTCTACTGAAGCGATTCCAAGTTCCTATCCTGTTTCCTCTCCTGACATTCCCTAGATGCTTTTCACTGATTGATTGCCCGTGATGTCACCCATGGCTCTTCTGCGGGAAGGAACACTGCGCGACCCAATCAAGGCCATGACGCGATCTCGATCGATGAATCCAAAATAGTGCCGCTTTCCAGAATTTGGGAGAGCGCTTCCGTCCCCTGATTTTCGTCCTGATAGTTCTTTTGTTCAACTGCGGTCTTTTCTCTTTGAATGCCCCGTTTCGGTAGGCCGAAATATCACATGAACGCTGATGATGGTTTCAAAGAATAATCTAAGTGGTGTTTTTATAACAGAAGGTAGTGTAAACCACATTTAGTTGATGATGCTACTTTGAGTTACCATTGAAAACACAGTGTTCCATGATGACAGAGGTGGCGACAAGAAGACGGAGGAGTGTCATCGTGGCCATTCGCGAAGGAACCCCGAACGCTTCTGCGTCCAGAAGTTTTTCTAAATTCCGTCAAGTTGTCATGCCGAGGTTACTGTGGCTCCCAATGTGATGAATGAGTCATCGCTTACAGGAGCTCATTATGTAGACTTGATCTTTATTGTAGCCTTAACGGTAGCTGATTTGTTGAGAAGAAGAGTTTGTGGGAGACGTCACGTTCTCGGGTAGATTCGCGCGCCATTCCCTGTCAAGATCTTAGGCGAGATGGATTTTCGCGCGTCCTCTCAGGCAAGATAGGGGGATGCCGCCGGATATGACTGACTGGCGACTGGAAGCAGCCTCGTACGTCTTCATGTCTCCTCCGACTTTAAGTCCTAGTCTCTCGAAATAAAAAAAAATCGCCTCGTCGAAGTATCTGCAAACCAGAAAGAACGTCTCCGCTGGCCGCGCTAATTAACTCTTTCTGTAGGACCCGGTTGATTATTAGAATATTATATTTTTTTTGTTTTATTGTAGTTTTTTTTGCAGATAAAATTATATTTGCTCGTTTCTATGTTATGCACCGAAGAAGTCATAAATCGCACATAAAGGCCAAACTAATGGTAGTCTGCGGCCCTACACATGGGTTTCTTTTCAGATTTCCTTAACCTTTGATTGCCCGAGCAAATATACATATCTGGTGGACTGTCAATTTGCCACTATTGACTGGCCCTCGTTGAAACATCGTGGAAAGCTAGGCACATCCTCCCCTGGGCTTGAACATACTTGATATTGTGCTGAATTCACAGTTTGAGATCATGAGTAATGTTAAAGTGCTGCCGCCCTTGCCCCTTGTCGACCTCCAACGAATACCTCTCGCATTTGTTCTGGCTCGCAATGACCATTCCCACCTCGCCTGGCCTCAGAGTGCGGCTGCTAGAAACTTTGATCTCATCACAAATGCCACCGAAACGAAATTCCGCCACGATGAACCGGCACGGCTCAGCCCCATATGGGAAAGGTGCGACGAATACTTTGAATGTTTAGATAAAATCTTCAATTTATCCATTAGGATGCAGGATTTTCAGGACATTATTTTGAATAAGCTTAGTGCGATTGAGGATATACTCGTAGCGGATGGGGGAGCTACCAACACAAGTTCAACGTTGTACAGTGTGCGCTGGTGAAGTTCAAATCCGACTGGAATATCGCTGGTGCCAAGGCGTGTAGGATAACTTGGGCTGGTGTAGCAGAGCAGAGAACAAAGGAAACCACGCGCACATTTGCAGAGGCCGTGAAAGGAAGTCATCGGTTGCTTAAAGACCAATGCCCCCTGAAAAGAGAGTTTAACTGAGGGCGACGTACAGGTAAAGTCGCCATCCCGTGATCAAGAGAAATGTAAATAGCAGCCGGCCACTATTATGTAACATTTTGACTATTCATCTCATACCTTGGTCACCTTGGTCACCTGACAAAGAAAAACCTTATTGATGAAATCGAAAAAGTACAAGAAAGTTTTATTTATCGTTGCTTCACAAGGGTCTAACGACGTACTCTTATGATGAACGTCTGCGCATACGAGTTGACACCTTGAGTTTCGTAGAAAGTTGGCTACTTTCTCCTTTATGTACAAACTTACAACGGATGAAATTTGCTCGCAGCTATCTGATCTTCTTGTGATTCCGTCGAGCATAAGTACCTCTAGATGCCATCCTTATCGCGTGCGACCTGACAAACCTAATTCCAACGCATACGCACGATCCCTTCGTCAGGGCTGCCTCTCTTTGGAACAACCTATACCCCGATCTATCCACGTGGAAGCGTTCTGTACAATCATCTACCGAAATTTTTGAAAGAGCAGGATAATTAGGCATTCCGTCAAGAGTCCGACAATTGACATCTGGTCTAGTCATAAATTTTTGAGGAGTCTGCTACATGATCGATATGTGCCCCGCCTCACAAACCAATATTGGGCGCATAAGGAGACCGGCAGGTGGCATGACACCGGTGGTTGCTTTCATGATGCACTTTCTTCAAGTTCGAATCCTCAGTCGCAAAACTGTCTGCAAATGACACCATATGAGTATTGATATCCGTTATATCAACCACGTGTTCCCCGATTGTACGACA